TGGAAACAGGTAATAGGCCCAGTCATGCTTGTTTCAGCTCTGCCTTTGCTTTCTGCACGAATCAACAACTTTTGAAGATGGTACCAATTTTTTCTTGAGTTCATGATCGTTTTGTTGAAATTTCTGATTGTATTTCTTTCAATTTCAATTTCCTGCAGCCAAAGAATGGACCCGTCTATATGCTACTGGGGCATGAAAGCGAAGGTGGCGTTCTGCATGTAATAACATCTCTACTACTGAACTTCAATTGTTCCAAGCTTTAATTAGTTCAAGCTCCTGCTGTTATACTATATGGTGTACATTGGTTGAAACCCCCTCTTTTTTATACAATCTCATCCCTCTGAGCAAGTTTCATTGTCTGCAAGAGAATAAAGAAAAAAATTATGTAGCAAACATGCTTGGAGTGAATTTTCTTCTGTCACAACACTTCTCCAATGAAAAAGCTTAGGAACATATTTGGAGGACAAAATAATCCTTTTATCAGTCTTTAGGGCCTATTGGTATTTAGATTAATTGTTCTGTATGTTATTTAAATTCATTAATTTTGTATTTATTATACAGGTTTTGGAGGCATAAATAATAAAAAAAAATCATCAGTTTAACCGTAGGTTGACTTGCACCTTTTGCGATATTGACTTTGATTTCTGGTCCCTCCAAACATTGGATATATTCATCCATAGGGAGCATGATCTTATCGCTTTACCGTAAACACGCAATAATCTTTTTATGTTATTTTGTTCTTTATATGCATGTGCATTTGTGTGTGATGCATTATTAAAATAAGCCTTGGTTAAGTGACTCCAGAGCTCCCAACTGCCTGAGAATTAAGGTAGGGTGTTTACAAATATACACACGCGTTGCTTACATATTATACAATCATATTCAAGGGGTGAAAGTTAAATTTCTTCTATCTTAAACTGGCCTTAGGCTTGTAATTTTTTATTCACTTTTATGTTTTCTGTACCATTCATCTATTGCATTGTCTTCATCTGCGCTTGGGTGTATTATGAAGATCCTTTACAATTTTTTGTTAATATATAACTATCTAAAATCCTCATGTTAATCACTTGTACGATAGCTAGTTTAAGTTACTACCCACCGTCGTTAGATTTGCTCAGAGATGGACGTCCACGGTGATCTCTTATTTGTGTTGGCAATGCAATGGATAATACGGCTGCAATAACCGCGCCGCTGCAATTGTACTTGTTCTTTTTACCTGAGACCACTGAGTTATCCCGGACAAAACATGGATCCATGGCAGCCCCTTGGTGATGTACTCCTGGACCATCAACTCTTGTCCATATCTGAACTGGATGTAAGCGAGAGAAGAAAAGATCGAGCCAGTGTTGGATGGATGGATGGATTTATGCGAGTCATATGACAACAACAATGCATGGGGACCTCCATTTGTTTTTCTGAACACATTAGAAAGTGTTAAGAAGAAGAAGGAATCTAATGACAGTAGTTCATAAAATGCACAACCAGACACTGCATTCTGAGCAGATTCAACACCCAACACCACCTGCTGATGAGATCTTTTTGCAATGACAGTGATGGTGGTCTCCCACCAGTTGGTGATAGTTGTCGCTGCGTTATTGGTTTGGGTGGGAGGTTTGTGGGATTATAGAGACAGTGAGGTCACATGTAATGTTTGTCCACAACCAAAAAGATCTCTCGGGCTTTCACATGCCATGGCTGCGCCTCATCCCCCTTTCCTTTAATTAAGAGCATCATTGCGTGGCTGCTTGAACACCATTTGATTTTGTCAGTGGACATTTCTGTGAGGCAAGGAATCTTCTGTTGCAGAATGGTCTTGATTGATTACCTTCAGCGACCAGGTAATTAAACCTGTCCATCTGCATTGATCTTGGCTTGTGTTGCTGTAGAATTTCATAACTTGAGCAGACTTGAATTGCTCAGAAATTGTTGCACGAGGACAGCATCTTCAAAGATGGTTATCTTGTCTTGCTATGGAACAGCATGTGCAAATTCTGTGTGTTGCACAAGGGGCCACGCTGAAGTTTCATGGTGTTTTTTGGTTCCAAGGCAAAACTTAATTGTATTCCTCTAAGAAAACGTCATTTTACCATCTCCTCTTCTACCAGAAGAGATCAAAGTTTCTAAAATTAAAACACATAGAAAAAAAAAAGAATGTTAACAATGGCTCAAAGTCTTTAGTATTCGATAGATGGATCAAAGCAGCAGCATCACTTCCAGTATGAATATTTTATATGTCCATACTCCAAGCTTCAAAAAAGCCATTCCGTATAGTCATAGATTCATTACGTATGCTAGATCTGTCCACACAACCTGCAAAAACAACAGCACCATGATTCTCATATCCATCTGACATTCGTATCAAATTTACTCGAACGATTAACATTTATAATAAGACTAACAGATTTAACAAATATTTTAAATTCATCTTTCCCTATAGCTACATCACCCTGAGTAAAGTCATGATGAGAAATTAACCACAGATTGCTGTTAGAAATTTTGACTTGCAATCTCTCTGTGTTTTTCTATTATTAAAAAATAAAATATTTTCAATTGTTACAGAATTGTTGTTGTTTTGAATAATACATGTGCATGAGCCTTTAAATTTGATTGTTTGATTAAATTGCTTCTAAAATTAATCTTTTTTTCGAATATATATATATATATATATATATATATATCTTTTTCTTATATCTTGAATGACTAATAGTAAATTTTCTTCTTCTAAAATGTTCTTGCAACAATCTTGGATTAATGAGAATTTTTACTATATTCAAAACTAAATCTTGGCTTATTTTTTACTCTCCAACATTAAAATACATAATATGTAAGTGGCAAGTAGTTGTGTCTCAAGATAGAGCTTAGAATTATGCTTTATCTAGCACCCAATCTTTTATTAGCACAAAATGACATAAAAGTTTGGCTTCCTAGTAATATTATTTAAGTTAAAAAATATTTTCTTTGTCTATAAAATAAGACTGTATAATAATAATAATAATATTATTATTATTATTATTATTTATACAGGGGGCAAACTCATAATAAAGGTAAATGGGTATTGGACCTATGCATGCACCTCAGAATAAACAGCTCACTTCACTTGTGCCAAGTACTAACTACATATCTCAACCTTCTGTTCCATGGTTTGTTCTCCTCAGGACCACCATTTCCGTAGCCGCGACAGGAAGAAAGGCTGAGGCGAGCCATTTCGACTCCCTCGTGAACGAGACCGGCCGCCTCCATTTATTGGTCACACGGATTCTCCATCTCTTTCACCTCTTGACTTGATGCGCAGACACCACCAGGATCCGTCCTCCCTCTTTCTCTCCCATGGCGGCATTCATCGTCGTCACTCTGATAGCAACCACTGCGTCACGGGGACTCGTAATGTGCGCTCACAGGTGATGCTTGTTTCAATCCCATCCATCGGCTTGGATTTTGCTGGCAGCATAGCGTATCAATCATTTTCCCCTTCGGTTTAGGTTTGCCATTCGTTGTCCTCTATTTAGGGCAGAGTAATGGAATCGCTCTGCCGCAACGTATTCAAGAATCCCTGACACCGGCAAACGCGTAAGGTATGCTATGCTATTTATTACTTCTCTAGTCTTTTCTTAGCTTTTTTCCTCCATCGCTTCACCTCCCTACGTCAGTCTTTTGGTTATAGAGGTTCGTTCATAATACACTGTGTGACGACAATCATAACCGACGCACAAACTAAGCATCGCATAGTTTGATTCGATCATTTAAAGTTGATACAACTAATTGTGTTTAGCTGGTAATTTCAATGGAAAGCTTTGGGAGCAAATCAAACAACCTAATATATCTAGTAGGATATGGATTCACAATAATACTATCAACTCCAAGTATAGTATTTAATCTCTTAATCATGCAAAACTAATCGGTCTTAGGTTGTAATAGATTATTTGATGATGTTATTAAGTATGTAGCTTTGTTCCAACATTGTTAGAATTCTTTTAACCAACCAAGTATTTTTGTTTCATATTGTTCATAATCATGGTAAAAGTATTTATAATAATGTTACAGGCTTATAAGGGTTTGTAAAGGATAGTCGTCGACTTGGACTTAATTATTTTGTATCAACAATTCGCTCTTAGGACTTAGCATATCAAAAAAAATTATGAATGAATGATTTAGGGAAGATCTATTTGTTGACATTCTAAAAAGCATATACACAATGACATCTCAAGGCTAATCTTCCATCACACTAAGGTAAAACTTCAATCAAAGAAAATGGCATCAGCAGCAATAAATAATAAAAGAAAAAACAGAATTAAACCTCCAGGGATTTTGAGAGGAGATTTGCAGATGTATAGTATTTTTCAATTAAACAGGATAGATATGTCATCCTTAGGTCATAACAAGATATTGGGTTCAGTCATCCAAAGCTCATGCAACCACAAAAATCTATAAAGCCATCCACAAAACATGCATGTAAGAAGGAGTAATACAATGTAGAATATTAATATTACACACCTTCTTACACATGAGGAGGCCTGTGAGAGTCAGCCTTCCCAAGATGAAAAGGACAACTGTTGCAGTGGTAATGATAACAAGATAACACCACCCCCCAAAGGCAAAAGAAACATGGGAGAAGGTGCCAGTCTTTGCAGATGGATCATTTTGTCCTCTTGCAATCCTTCCTAAGCTGTAGCTTCTTTGTACAAAGCTCTAAATTAAACCACTTTATCTCACTGTATTTCAAATGCAGCTACCATCTTTTATCCTAATGATGAGATATATTTGTCTTGGCAACAAGGAAACATTTCCCTTAACTTTTCTTTTGGAGCTTCCAACCCCATTCTAGAGTAATAATATGCATACCTTCCCTATCCCTTCTTTCCCAATTTTCTACTCTATTTTATCCTTTCTCTCCCTCTGCGAAGGGGACTGAGGAGTTCCCAGAGCGTGGTGGGTGTGGAGGAACTCTCGGATAAACAAATAAGTTGAGGCGTATGAGCATAGATACTGTTACAGAGGTGAGATTCCATTCTTTTTATCTCCTCAGTTGGATCTCTGTGTTTCTTTGACAAATCCAGTCTCTGCTATCTTCTTCTTTGCATGTTAGGCAACAGTAAAAGCACATTGCTGTAGGGGGAGACTCCTGCTGACCTATTACTTAATATTATTTTTCATGTTGTTCACCCATTTAATAATCCCTAGCCATGTGAAAGTAGCTTTTTTATGTTGATTCACAAAAAGGTGGTCTCGTTTCTACTTTTATGAATGCATATTTGCAAATGTTTATCTTTCATGCAAAGTTTGTCAATTTTACAGATCCACATGTTCTAGTATTAAATGCTCCTACAGAGCATGTCCTCCTCCTTTTTCTCATGCCTAGAAAGCTTGGAAAAGTAGTATAATCCTATAGTTCCCTTTACAAAATCCACAATTTTTTTGGCTGGTCACTCTTTATTTCTGCATGGATAGAGATTGTTGCTATGATTCATACACTTGTTTCCGTTTGGGAGAATTACAAGGGGATGTTCTGCTTACTGCTTTGGTAAAGATTGTTGCTAAAACACTGAATGCCAGTTGAAACTTGAGCACCATTAATTCTGTCCTTGTTTCTTATCATCCACTCATCTGCAAAGATGAAATAAAGATGGAAGTACTGCCGTTCCCAAAGCTGTCTCCTCCTCCAGCTTCTACATCATTTATTGACGACCTGAACCATTCCACCATCTCTCGCTCTCTCTCTCTCTATCTTTTTCCTGTGCACACAATATTTTTCACATTGCTATGGATCTACAGCTCATGTACATGCATTGCCATGGCAAAAGAATTGCACAGATGAAATAAAGTTGGAAGTATTGCTGTTCCCAAAGCTGTCTCTTCCTCCAGCTTCTACATCATTTATTGACCTGAACCATTCCACCATCTCTCTCTATCTTTCTCCTTTGCACGCAATGTTTTTCACATTGCTATGGATCTACAGCTCATGTACATGTATTGCCATGGTAAAAAAATTGTAGAGAGAGCAGCCATGTGGGAGTACAGAACAGTTCTGTATGCACAAGCTCTACTATTCCTATTCCTCTCTCTCTCTCTCTTTCTCTACTCACGGTTTGCTCACTTCTTTAGCTAATTCAGTATCTGCTGTTGTGCTTCTCACCACCACCTCTCCTTCCTTCCTCCATGGAGAGAGTTTGAAATTTGAAGTGGGGCTTGGAAATGTGTGCCTCCATCTGTGCGGTGTTGCTTCTATTTAATTGTACCGTTGTCCACCATCTCTTTGGTTCTGAAGCATAGTTTAGGCATCTGAGCAGGTGAAGCCAAGTGTTGGGGTGTGGGTTTGAGCTTTAAGATTCGATCCAATGCCGAGATCAAGGTAAGGACTTTCGTCGAACACTTTTGTTTCGTGAGCTCTCTCTTTGAGGCCACCAAGTTGGTGAGAGGTGTTCTGATGGGGAGCAGAGGGTCGTCAGATGCGCCGCAGAGGCAGTCGCCGCGGGCGCCGCTCCACCTGAGGGCCACCGCCTGCTCCGAGGCCAACAGCGTGCACCACCGCCCCGTGGCCGCCGACCGCAGCCCCAGGGTGTCCCCTCGTGGTGTCTTACAAGAGGTAAGCGAGGAGCGTCCTGCTCTTGTTGGCCACCAGTTCATGCACTGATTCAACTCCGTGGCTGATGGCTTCGATGCAGCAGAGGAAGCGGGGCACGAGGGTAACCGACCTGGAGACCAAGCTGAAGAAGGCGCAGGAGGAGCTCAAGCGGCTGAGAGACCAGGTGGCCTCGGCGGAAGCCGCGAAGACCGAGGCGGAGCAAGCTCTCGTGAAGGCCAAGAAGCGGATCACGGCCACAGCCCCGACGGCGAAAGGAGAAGACGTCAAGCGTCATGTTCCTCAGGAGTCTCGAAAGGAGGGCGGTCCACCGCAGGAGAACAAGTCCGAGGAGGAGAGCGTCACTTCTCCCGCGACGATGGATGTCTTCGAAGTAGTAGTGCCGACTGAGCCCATCCACAGAGAGAACGAAGACGTCAGCATGCAGAAGAAAGAAGAGAGTGCGGTGGAGAGGGAAAAGGAGGAGACAAAGACAATGATCAGCGATGCAGTAGTTGCTGAGACAGAGGAGAAAAAGAAGGAAGAAGAGGAAGACAAGAGAGAGCCGTTGGTGATACCTGATAGCCCACAGGTGGACGCTCTCAAGGCCAAGCTCTCGGAGAAGGAGAAGGAAGTGGAGATACTCCTCGAGGAGAACGTCATCTTCAAGACCAGAGCCGACGAGGAAGCGAGGCAGATCGCAGACGCTGCTCGGGCCAAGGAAGAAGAGCTGACGGCGAGGCTGAACTCCACGGAGGAAGAGCTCAAAGAAAGCAGAGCTAAAGCGGGTCGCCTGGCGGAGCAGCTGGAGGCAGCAGAAGGCGCGAAGGCGGCGTTAGAGGCGGAGATGAAGCGGCTGAGGGTGCAGACAGAGCAATGGCGGAAGGCGGCAGAGGCCGCTGCCGCAGTACTGGCAACGGGGGACGCAACGGCCGAGGACACGACGGGGAGAAGGGTGGCGGAGCGGTGTGGGTCGATGGACAAGCACCTCGGCTGGGGGTCGCCGCTGGTGGCCGGGGACACGGACGAAGACGGCAGCGGGAGGAGAAAGAGCGCCGGGATTCGAGTGCTCGGGGAGCTGTGGAAGAAGAAGGGTCAGCGGAAATGAGCTGATCGAAACAGAGGAAGGAGGTGAGTAGCTCAGCCTCATCCGTCCCTCGTTATGCTTACTCTGTTCGATTATTACTACTGTTGTAGTTGTCGGTAAGAGGCAATCTTTTGGTCTCTGCATCTCTCTGCTTTGGATTTGAATCATAAACGGAGGGAAGTTGTATGAGTTCTTCTTGGTAGACATGGGATTTTTTTTGGCACACTGTTTTAGCACACAAATCATTGGCTATGTAACTTTTAATCATGTTGGATTAGGTTTAAATATCAACATTCTTGGTTTAAGCATGAGTAATTATCCTTCCCCATTTTAATTACGTTGCTAAACTCACACTAATCTGTCATGAATTTTCTTTTAAATTGAATGGAGTTTTTTTTTTTTCCCTGCAACATAAGTTTTTTTTTTTATTATGAAAAGTGATTATTATGCGTTTGAATTTGATTGTTTATTCTTGATCTTTCTTGATCATCATCCACTATGCTTGAGATGTACAAATGTGAGGATATCAGATGGATCATCTCTACTAGTTTTTGCATACTAACCAGAGTTTAACATGAACTAAAGAAGTGCTTTTTTTTCTTCTCTTACATGTGAGGCAAAGCTCTTTATAATGGTAAATCCATTACTTCAAAGACAAGCAGGAAATTTATGGAACAATGTTTTCATTTACTGTCAATCAAACTAAATGCCACATTTTACTTCAAAAGTTGTAAGTAGGGTGGGTCAAAATCTGAATGCTTGCAATATCTGGAAACCATATATGGACTTGGATTATATATATATATATAAATTGTTGATTACCTTCTTAAATTATTGCTTCTAGAACTTGAACTCAATCTTAGAGACACAGTCAGGCACTTCAACAGTCCATGTCTGCTGTGCTTTCAGCCATACATTGTTGTCCTCAACAGCTTCGAAGCTTTGGAGTGTAAGAAAACCCTAATCATAGTGACTAAGCTTAGCAAAACCAAAGGATGGAGCTACTTCGCTGTTGTTCTCAGAAATGCTTCACCATGATAAATTACATATGGCCAAATAACATTTGAGACTTTAATCAATAAACCACTGGAAACATTCAACAGCTAACTAGGAAAAGCATGGAGGCTAAATTTTTGGCTGATGGAACCTCTTCACCTTTCTCTTATAATGTGTGGACTAACCTCACAAGATGACATTTTATTGAAGAAAGAAGGATGCCACCAACCTTTGCACACTTTGTAATCAAGTTTTGGTGTTGACCTTTTCCAAGGAATCTGTAAAATGATGTGATGGCTTCTTTCTGTGTCAAACATATGTTTGCATTCAGTCATCGTCAATGGCAGAATGCAAAGAGGCAATAAGACAAACCTTTCCATCATTGTGTTCGCCAAGAAGTCTACAGCTTCAAGGTAAAACAAAACAAGAGAAGAAAACACTCTTCTCGGATTGCAGAATCCACCTTTCATGACTGCAATGCAATAATGTGTCAGAAAGTTTCATTATTAAACAATGTATTGATGTTTAGTGCATGTCATTTCTCTATTGAGAAAATTATTAGGGTTTTTTTCTTTTAATGAATGAACTATATATAT